CAATGAGACGGGGTCCCTCTCACACAAGCACTTGTTTCACCCCTGAGGTTCTTGCAGAAACCGGAAGGGTCACAGCCAATGGCAGTGAGACAGCACTAACTCAGTACTGCTGCCTTTCTTTTCGTTTCCTACCTTTATGTTTCTATCCCCACAGTTCTCTCTTTTAATCCCAAATTACCTGGAAGACTGGGCCAGGTTTTCAAGAACATAGTTTTGATCTGGATTGCTGTGGAGTGAGCACCAAATCCTGTGAACTTGATCTCTTTATTTATTCCAGTCTCCTCACTCCTAGCCTCAGCCCCGTGAGAGGCCATGATGTGAGAGGTTCCCAAAGTCACCCTGTGGTTGGCAAACTCTACGTGGGTCCCCAGGGTTCCCTCCTCTAGAATCACGTCCTTATGTAAGATATACTTTTGAAATTTAAACTGGACCTAATGACTTGCATGTAACAAGTAGAGCACAGCAGCTGCTGGGATGTATATTTTGGAATCACTCGGGGAAGAGACACGAGGGACCTGGGGTCAGTTGTCTCAGGCTGGCTGTCCAGGCCAGGCTGAGGCAGCAGACATATCCCATGGAGCCCAATGACAATGACCCTGCCCTCCTTTCCTACCTGAACAGTTTCTCCTCTAGATCTGAGCTCCCACAGCCCCTGCCATCAGACAGGATGAGGAGGAGGAGGAGACACCAGCAGTGATTCTCATCCTGGCTGGAATGTTGAGGGAACTGTCTGTAAAAAGGAGAGGACAGAAGTGAACAAAAGAAGGTTACCAAATCTAACACCTGGTGACCCACACGCTCCCCGAGGTCAGACCCCATGCAGAAAGATGAGGAGGGTAACAGTCTCCAGTCTCCCTGTGCTGCCCCCTGGGGCCCAGCTCTCTCTTCTCCAACTACAATAATGCCCCAGGGGCCCACAGAGGCACTGTGAATATATCTCTGTTTATCTCCAGAACAGACCACCAACACGACATGCCCCTAGGAAGTCCTATTCTCTCAATATATATTAATTGTGTGTGTGCAGCAGAAACGCAAGTAACAGTGGTCTAGCAGGATGGAAGCTTGTCTGTGTCTCCATGACAGGGAGGCAGGCAGTTCCAAGGCAGCTCGGTCACGGTGCACCATGAGGTTGTCCATGTATCCAAGTCACTTGACCTCCCTTCTCTACGGTCCCTGGCATCCTGTGCATGTTGACATAACCCAAGTTACCTAAGACCATATTAAATGAACAACCAGAGATAGCAAAGGCAGTGGAAAATTCTTTTCTTTAAGATCAAAATTTAAAACTACACTTCTGGGTCATCATATTGTCCAGAACTTAATCACAGAACTGGGGTCTTTATTACTTGATTTATTATATAACCTATTGTTACTTCTCTTGCCTGAAAACAGCCTCTTGTTTTGTTCCTTTGAGATTACTATTACTGAGACCAGTTCAAGGGCAAGCATGTGACCAGGCTTAGATCACAAAATGGCTCAGGCCCCAAATGATTTCTTTTATTGTCAAAAACGCTGTACCTGCCTCATTTCCTCTGGAGACCCCTATCCTGTCTGCCTACAACACCAGCAAAGTGGAATCACCAGAAGGGACTTTGTGGGGTCCTGTATGACAGCAGGCTGGAAGGAACAGTGGGAGCCCAGAATCTGCCGGCAGGATGACAAGGAAAGAAATACATGGTTCACTTTAGTGATTGCTCTTTCCTATGTAAGAGACTGGAAAATTCATGGGAAACGTTCAGAGTGGACCCTCTCTCAGGTTGACACAGAACCACAGAGAAACCTTCCAAAGGACACCATGATGCTTGTATCCAGGACGGTGCTCTGTGAACACAGCTCAGTCCTGCAGATCATCTTGTCCAACGTGGACCCGCAGTGACAATGAGTGTTCAGTGATGTGCAGCCTGTGTGTGGACTATTCCAGGGCAGAGGCCGCACTGCCTGGTGGTCCCCTCTCTGACCTGGGACGTCCCTGTGCAGACAGACTCTGAGGTGGTACCCAAGGATCTCTGTCCCCTGGGAGTCACACTTTGTGGAATCTAACCAGGAGTATGGGTGGGACCTAGGACTTGCTTCTAACCAATAGAATGTGACAACGGGGATGTCACCCCTGTAGTCAGATCCTAGAAGAGCATGACCGCATCCTGCTAGCTGACCACTACTGTCCACATGGCTCATAAGCTCTGGCGCAGCCAGCCGCTGTTCTGAAAAGGCCCACGTGGCGAGGAGCTGAGGTCAGCGCCCGACCCACAGCCAGCAAGAGACTGAGGCCCCTAGTCTGACTGCCCACAGGGAGCCGCTCAGGCCTCTTCCCTAAGGCAGCCCTTCCCTTTCCTGAGGACACACCCCCCCA